GGTCTAAGTGTTCATCTTATACACCTGTCTATTGTTTGGCTGGAAGCCACAGGAGTGAGTTCAATTCTAGGCCTGAAGGGTGATTGGGGGCCACAGTCTTGGGGGTCCATAGGGTTTTTAAGGCTGTGACCATTCAGAATCAGATAGCCAAATCTTTCTTCCACCTCTGAGTGGGTTCAAATTGCTAAACTTTTGACTACTAGCTGAATGCTTTATATTTATGCCACCCAAGGACTTCACTTCCTCCACCTACCCTTTCCTAGTTCCTGAAAATTGGTACTGTAGTTGATGACCTCTTAGACTCCAAGATCCTTGAAGACTAGAAATCTGTATCTTTGTATTCTGAACTCTAAGCTCCTGGCCTAGACTCTTTTGGGGCACTTGGTCCAGACTTTTTATTCTTTACCTTTCAAATGGGAACAGTACTATCACAAGCCCTACCTCCCCATGGGGATTCTGGAATAAGTAAAAGGCACAATGCCTACTTAAGGGCTTTGTAAACTACACAGCAGTCTAGGACTCTAGTTCTCAAACTTTGCTGCGTGCTGGAATCATCTGGGAAGCCATTAAAAATGGTAGTGTCTAGATTCCACCCCAGAGATCTGGATTTAATTGTTCTGGGAGTGCAGCCTAGATGTTAGGATCTTTAACAGCTCCGCAAGTGTTTCTAAAAATGCAACTAAGTTTAAGAACCCCTGATCTAGGGCAGTGCTTCTCAAACTATCACACTTTCAAGACTGAATTATTTTCTGCTCTGAATTTTTTGTTGAAATCATGTTTTCAGTAATGGAAGGCATTTGGGGTTAAATGAAAAAAAAAATTTTGAAGTAATTTTGATACAGTTGTTGTTGTTGTTATGTACCATTGAGTCAGACCCAACTCACAGTGACACCTCCTTGGGTTTCCAAGGCAGTATTACTACGGAAGTACATTGCCCAACCTTCCTTCAAGGAGTGGCTGGTGGGTTTGAAGTGCCAGCCTTCTGGTTAGCAGTCAAGTGCCTTAGGAACTACACTACCAGAGCTTCCTTGATACAGTCAGTGGGACACATATGTCCTGAGGAGTCTCTGGTCCTGGGGTTGGTGGGATGAGGTCTGTTTTTGCAGATTCATGATGTTATACAGGCCCCCAATAGATGGCAGCATGCACTGAAAGTGGGGTAGAAGCTTCTCACTTAAATCTCAGAGGTAGAAAATGTAGGTGGGCACTATATGTCGCATGGGTTACAAAAGGGTTAATCTGTAAAAAGATCTCCTAGGGATTTTCTTAAGAGTTTTGATTCAGTGAAGCTGGAGTGAGGCTGGAGATCCTGCATCTCTAACAAGCTCCTGGGGGTCTAGGGAAGTGCAGTTATTGGTGTAGCTACTTTTTGTTAGTTGATGTTGAGTTGATTCCAACTCATAGCAATCCCCTGTGTACAACTATGCTCCAGAGGTTTTAAAGGCTCTGACTTTTCAGAAGCTAATTGCCAGGCTTGTCTCTTGAGGCAACTCTGACTACTACTGGGAACAGACTACCCTATCTGTCTCTCCATTCCTAACACTGTTGAAAGAGAGATTAACAATAAAGTAGGAGAGGTTTGGTCCATTTGAAAGGAACAAGATGACCAGCCCAGCCTTCCTGCCCTGTCTCTTCATTCTGCTCCCTGCCCTTTCTAGGGCTAAACCTTAGATGCTGCCTGAACAATTAAAATTATAGAATGTTCTGTTCTTGTTGGGTTCATTCAAACACCCTGAACATCTTCATTATGCCCAGCCCTGAGGGGAACAAAGATGCTCTCCAGGTCTTCACCACTTCACCGTTCCAGCAGGTGCCAGGAACATGTTGCTCTCTTGATGACTAGTCACTGGCAGGATCTTAAGGGGATGAGGTATAGAGAGCAATGTATTCCAAGCCGTATGGCTGGAGTGCTAGAGTGGAGCTGGTAATAGGTGCTTTGTTAAAAAAAAAAAAAAAGGTGGTCTCTAATCAAGTTCAGGAAATTTGAATTGAACAAAGGAACAAAGTTAGACAGATTTCTTTATGGCAGGATTTGGACATATCTTAGGTTATAAACCAAACATATCTTTGAACACAGATCTTATTTGTTGTTATTGTTCTCAGAATATCTGTTGCCATCTCTTGGTACATGAATGTTCCTAAGATCACAGGTAAGAAAATGCTGTTCTGGACCTAAAGGTTCTTGAGGGCAGAGACCAGATTCATACACCTGGTTCCTGGCCTGAGTACCTAGTAGATTATGAATGTTTACCGGCTAGAGAATTGATGAGTGAGGTTCTTTGTGGCCCTCAGGAATGACAACACCTGTCTGAAATGAGGGGGTGATTATAAGGCTGGGAGAGGTGGGCCAGCTTGAGGACTGACCTGCCCAGGGGCCGAAGAGAAAGTGACAGTGATCTTGGGAAGGAGATATTTTAATGCCTAATTCCTATCTCTGGGCCTGTTTGGCCTCAATTTGAGAGCTTATACCCTTCCCTGTGGATCCCTAGTGGTAGAATGGTTAAGTGCTTGGCTTTGAACAAAAGATTGGTGGTTTGAAGCCATCAGCTGCTCCGCAGGAGAAAGATGTAGCAGTCAGCTTCTATAAAAGATAGCAGCCTTGGAAACCCTGTGGGGCAGTTCCACTCTGTCCTGTAAGGTCACTATGAGTTGGAATCAACTCAACAGCAATGGATTTGGAAGGCCTTCTTATAGAACCTATATGGCTCAAGTGATTTACAATCAGCTGCTAACCAAAAGGTTGATAGTTTGAATTCATGCAGCATCTCTGCAAAAGAAAAGACCAGGCAAACTGCTTCCATAGAGATTACAGCCAGGAAAACCTTATGGAAGGTTCTATTCTGTAAAACACGGGAGTGTTGAAAGTCAACTTGATGACAGCCAAGAAAAATACAGCGATCCCACTCTGGACCCCTGAGATATGTTTAGCCTCAGAGGCCCTTTGAGGCTTATTTTCCAGCATTCCTGACCATTTCCTTGGGCACTGCCATGACCTGTGGCCTTTTGTTCTATTCCACCTGGCTCTAGAGCTATCCCATGCTTACCACCCCACCCCCATCTTGGGATGGTGTTCCACTTACTCATGGGGTCTCGAGCAAAGATGGCATCTGATGGGGGCCCAGGCTCTCCAGGACCAGAGGGAGCCACGGCCGTGACCCGGAACTCGTACTGACAGCCCTGCCGCACGTCCACCACTGTCCACTTCCTCTCTGTGAACATCGCACCCCACATGAGTCCCACCTTGATGGGACCAGGCCACGGAGAGATAGCTCAGTGTCTCCACATTCTGGAGAAGACCAAGCCTGGGGCCCAAACACCTCCCTCCTCCCCATGCAGTCAGCCAAGTGTGACTCAGTTCTCTCAGCACTGCTCAGGGTGTCAGGAGCCTGAGTCCCTGTCAGATTCTGCCACTAACTTGCTGGGTAGCACTGAGCAAGTGCCTTAACCTCTCTGATTCTCTCTGCCTCAAAGAGTTGTTGTCATAAGTAAATAAAATGGAACCACTAAGTAGTGAGGTTGAATGCACCTTGATATGCCTTTAGTTCACCTCCCTCTTTCCAGAGATGAGGAGGCTGAGGTCCTGAGAGGGTTCAGCTCCTGAGCATCATGGCCATGATTAGAAGCTAGGCCTCCTGGCAGCCTGTTCAGCACTCTTTCCACTGCAAACCTGGGCCTGCGCAGCCTGCCTGCAGCTGTATAGACTCTGAAGAGTGTAAAGATCCAGGGCATAAAGCAAAGGGTTGTCTACCCTGCACTTGGGCTTTTCCAAGTTCTTTTTGATATCAGAAAGCAGTTAGTTTCTTAGGAAACTACTCGATGGAGTAGGGGACACTTCTCTCCATTTCATAGATGAGAAAACTGAGATCTAGAGAAGTCAGTGAGCCACCCAAGATCAAGGGCTGAACTCAGAGCTCCACCTCTGGCATCCAGTTGGAACTTTTTACATTAAACCAAGGTTTTTTAACCTCAGCACTATTGAATATTTTTGGCTAGTTAATCCTTATTTTGGGAGTGAAAGTACTGTCCTGTGTATTGTAGTGGGTTTAGTAGTATCCCTGGCCTCTTCACCCTAGATGCTAATAGCATGCTGACCACCTTCTGCCCACCACACCCCATCTGTGACAAGCAAAAATACATCTAGACATTGCCAAATGTCCCCTAGGGGCAAAACTACTCTAGGTGGTCCTCACTCTAGGTGAGGACCACTGCATTAAGCCAGTGTGGCATGATAAACCAAAGGACCCTAAAGCCAAGAGCAGGTCTAATGAAACTTTGGAGGCATGACAGAGCACAGTGAGGCCATTCAGGTCTGCTCACCAGGCACGGGATGGTCATTTACTGTAGTCCAGATGTTGCTCCCCTTCCTGCGCTTCTCAATCAGGTAGCCCAGAAGGTGGGCACTGCCAGGGCCCCGAGGCGCTGTCCACGTCAGTGTGATGCCTTTGCTGGAGGCTGACAGGATGGCTGGGGTAGAAGGGGGCCCTGGGAGAGCTAGGGGCAGAGAGGGCCTGGTTAGCCAGAGGCAGGGGAAGTAAGTGGTCAGGGAGGTCCTAAGGAGGGAGCATCTAAGGGCAGGAATGTCAGGGAGCTGAGCCAGCCTGCTCTAGGACACTATTTTGGCAGTTGAGGGGCAGGAATGACAGGAACAAAGAAGGGACTACGTCCTGAGTCTAGAGCTACCCCCTCAGAGTCCAGAGTCCCCTGAAAGGACGTTTCAGGCTGGGAGTGTCTGATGGAGGAGCCTGCTAGTCCCTGTCCAGGGTCTTGAGAGAATGGGCTCCCCCTGCCCATTTCCCACCCCTGAGAGCCATAGCTGGGAGAAAGCCAGATGCCATGGAGTCCATTCAAACTCATGATGAAATAGATCACTAGGCCTGTCTTCCAAGGAGCATCTGAATGACTTCAAACCACTAACCTTCTGGTTAGCATCAGAGCACATTAACCGATGGCCCCACCCAGAGACTACCATAGCTGGGAGAAGATTCGGAAATCTTGCTTTCTAATCTGGCTTCCAGATCCCAAATGAAACTGAAGTAAGGAGACTCCACATTGTTCTAGAAGGATCTCAAGACCCCCAGCACTGGTTGGTGTCCCTCAGCCTCTGGGGCAGACCTGCCAGTCATCTGAGCACGGGGTGGGGGATCCCACAAGGGTTGCCCAACCCCAGTCCCAGCCTGTCCTCTCACCCTCAGGAGCCACGAGCACCTCCTCAGACTGCAAGGCTTCCCCAGTCCCCTCAGAGGTCACAGCCTGCACGCGGAAGGTGTACTTCTTGCCCTGCTCCACATGGGTGTCAGTGAAGGTGGTGCTGTCTGCCGGGGCCTCGCCCACCTTCAGCCAAGTGCTCCTGCCAGCCTGCTGCCTCTCCACCAAGTAGTGCTGCACAGCTCGACCCCCGTCGTCCTGTGGGGGCCGCCAGCGGAGGCAGACACCAGTCCCATGGCCATCCTGCACCTCCAGGGGGCCCTGTGGGGGCTTGGGCTTGTCTGGTGATCCAGGGGAGGAGCAGGAAGAGAAGGAGGGTCAGATAAGCAGCTATGGGGCAAACTGCCCAGAAGGCCTTGGTTATAACTCAGAGGTCCACTGAAACAACCAGGCATTCCCTGGTCTCCACCCCCCAACACACACATATACACCTAGGGCTGTGACATGGAACCAGCTCCCAAGCCCAGCCACACCATTCAGTGGTCGGTATGGACACCTGCCCAGCCCTCTGGACCTGGCAGTCCTACCTTGCAACATCTCTTGAGGCTGAGGACCACTATCCCACCCCAGCTCCTTCCCTAGGCCTCAGGGTATTTGTGCTCAGAGAAGTACAGCCAGTTCCTCCTTCCGGGAGGGGTCCAGGCCTTTACTTATCTAAACTGCTTCATCCTAACCAGTATGAGGAGGGGAGGCTGTAGACAGATTTGTGTCTTAAGCAGCATTCAAATGAAGATCAGAGCCTGGGCCTGCCCCATGGCAGGAAGGGTCTGGAACCCTGGGGACCTTCAGGCTGGGGAGGAGGCTGGGGCTGGCACCTATGACTTGCAGGGTGAGCTCGGCCTGCACAGAGCCTCCCTCGCTCCTCAGTGTCACGCTGTATTGGCCATTGTCTTTCCTGCTGGCATTGGGGATGCACAGCCGGGTGAAGTCATCCCCCAGGGCCACATGGGTCCCCCTGCTGCTGTTATCCAACATCTCAGCACCATCCTTCCTCCAGGCAGCTTGAACTGGGAGGCGGCTTTTGAAAGGGATCTTCACTGACACCAACTTCCCAGCCTTGACCACCATTGGCTCTCTCAGCTTCTCTGTCATGTTTGGAGCAATGGTAGGGGGTTCTAGAGATAAAACAGAGCAAGAAAGTCGAAGAAGATTTGGGTATGGGTATGGGTCACCTTAAGCGTGGGGAAAGAAAGACCCAGAGAAAGAAGCTTGGGGTAAGAGTAGGGAACACCTGACCCCACCTCCTGAGGATGAACAAGAGGAATGGGCTTCATCTGCAGCAAGAGGGACCAGGGTTAGACTTCACCGAGGACTTCCTGACAAGGAAGGCAATTACATGCTGGAATAGGGAAGGTGTGAGTTGGCTTTTTAAATTCACAGAGGTTTTTCTCAGACTGGAGATAAGATTAGCCATTGGCTATAGACTAGCAACAAATTCAGGTGGTTAGGAGAACATATAGCTTGGTGCAAAGAAATGGTGAGCAGGGATAGGCAGGGCTGGGCCTCACCCTGGACAGTTAGGGTGGCCTCGCTCTGCTGGTTTCCCACTACAAAAGTGTATTTTCCGGCCTGGGTCCCCTGCACATGGGCGATGAGAAGTCTGTGCACAAGACCATCTTGCTCAAAGATGACTCCATCCTGGGCAGTGAGCTGAAGACAAGGGCCACAGCAAGAAAAAGTCATTCCAACCTCCATCTTGCTCCCAGCCCAACTTTTCCAATGCAATTGCTGGAATCATAATAACAACTGCATGAACTCATGGCAAGCCCACATGTTTCAGAGACGTGCTCTATAGGGTTTTCGGTGACTATAATCTTACGTAAGTAGATCACCAGGATTTTCTTCTGCAGCACTGCTGGGTGAATTTGAACCATCAACCTTTTGGTTAGTAGCTAAGAGTAAACTGTTTGTGCCACTCAGGGACCTTTCTCCATGGATTTAATAGTGTCTCCCAAAACTATGTATCAACTTGGTTAGGACATGATTCTCAGTGGTTGACAGTTATGTAATAACGATTATATGTAATAACGATATAATCGTTCCCCATGATGTGATCTGGTATAATCATTCTCCTTTTGTGATACGTTGTAAATCCTGACCTCTCTGTGTTAATTAGGTAGCAGTAGTGGATGCAACACCTCTACTGAGATCAGAGCCCTGATCCTATATAAGGAGAGTTTCCCTGGGGTGTGGCTTGTATCACCTTTCATCTTAAAAGGGATAAAAGGAGAGAGAACCGAGCAGAGATGGAGGGATGCAACTACCCCCCAAAAAAGAAGTGCTAGTAGTGGAGTGCATGCTTTCGACCCAGGGTTCCTTCGCTGACAACCTCCTAGACACAGGGGAAGATTGATGCCAAGACACATGGAGATCTCCAAGGAACACCAGGCTCACAGATGTTGAAAAGGCACAAGGACCTTCTCTCAGAGCCAACAGAGAGTGAAAGTGTTCCCTTAGAGCCGGCACCCTGAATTGGGACTTCTAGCCTCCTAACCTGTGAGAGAATAAATTTCTACTTATAAAAGCCATCCGCTATGCTATCTCTGTTATAACATTTAATTTTCACAACAACCTTATGAAGTAGGTACTACGATTAGCCCCATTTTATAGATGAGGAAACTGGAATGTTCAACAACTTGCCCACGATCACATAACTGGTAAGGGGCAAGCTGGCATCTGAAGCCAGACCTAGCTGAGGTCAAGGACCTTGCTGCAAACCACTGTGATACTTTTCTTCCCATGATGACAGCTACAGTGGAGGACAGCAGGCATGTTTAGAGAGAGGATTGACCCCATGTGGTTAGGATGACCCTCTTTGAAGGAGGGGCAGATTTCAATAGGTGGAGGTACAAGAAAGGTATTTTGGGTGGCAGGACAGTAAGGCATGTATCGAGGGAGGAGTGTGGTGAATATGCATCCATTTAAAACTCTAGTTCTCTTTCAAATACTTCAAGTTTGTTGGCTACTTAAACTTCTCCCAGGGTGGGCATATTAGTAAAATGAAGAACAAAAAAGTCTTTCTTGCAAAGCCTCCCCTTATTCTCTACCTATCCCCTGCTCCTCACCCTCAATTGGTTGGTAAAGAGAAGGTATGAGGGGGCAGTACCTTGACTCCATCCTTAAACCAGGCTCCAGGTCCCAGGTCTCTGGTGAGGGTGCAGGAGAGCATAGTGGCCTCCCCTTGCTGGGCTTCTGTGTCAGTTAGGCCCTGAGAGAAGTGGCCTGTGGATCCTAGATAGACACAGAAGGGTCTAGGGGCTGGTCACCAAAGATTCCCCCAAGACCCAAGACCCAGCCTCCCGGGCCATGACCTACACTGCCTACGTGGCTACCACATTCCTGCCAGCTGGGGACAGCCAGTGCCTGTAAGGCCAAATGTCTCATTCATTTCAACAGAGGTTAAACCAAAAAAAAAAACCAAAGTCACTGCTGTGGAGTTGGTTCCAACTCATAGCGACCCCTTCTTGGGTTTCTGAGGCAGTATCTCTATGGAAGTAGATTGCCCAGTCTTCCTTCCGAGGAGTGGCTGGTAGGTTTGAACTGCCAGCCTTCTGTTCTGGTCAAATGCCTTAGGCACCACACCACCAGAGCTAGACTGGCACAAATCTGGTGTGTTGGGTAGATGAAGAGGTAGGGACTGTGGAGCACCCTGAATCACACAAATGGCACGTCTGTGGTAAGAAGAAGGTTAGGTCAACAACTCTGGTGTTTTGGATACAGAGTCTCAAGACAGATACTGGGGAAACCTCTGAGCCATATGCACCCTGGATCTCATCTGCACAAGGAGGAAGAGGTTGCTTCCTGAATTTGAAAGAGGTACCTGAAAATAGGGGACATTGGCAGGGATAACTCCTGGATCTAGAGGTAGAATTGGGACTAATCTAGGCATCCCAGTGTTCAGGGCATCCCTCTTTAGTTATACTCCACTGAGAAATACTTACCTCGGGCCTCCTTGGAGAAACTGCCAGTGCCAGGCTTGTATCCAGGTCTGGGACTCTGGCGGGCATCCTTCTCCTTGCCATAGATGTCTGCCCTTCCCATTGTGTCACCTCTCCTGCTGCCAAGATGACCTGGGGGCTCCCAACCCCCATCCTCTCTCCGAGTTCCCCCGTGGAACCCTCTGTTCTCACCTCCCTGAGGTTGCCCCATATCTCGGGCCTTATCTGTTCCCCTGCTCTTAGCTACTCCAACCTCGGCCACTGACTCTGTTTGAGACCTCCCCCTGAGTGAACTAGATCTCCTGTCTGACCCACCAGAGTCTTCTGCTGTCTGCCTCTCATACTCTTTCAGGGCCCCAGGACCTTGGACCTTGTCATTCTCACCCTCCAGGGACCCCTTCTCCCTGAGGACCCCACTTCTGCCTTTCTGTCCTTTGCCTAACTGAGAACCAAGACCCTGGAAGGCCCCTGGTCTGTCACTAGAGTCCTTTCTGTCACAGGGCCCGTTTGTTCCATCCCAGGGGCCCCAAGATCCCGACTCCTCAGATTTTAGGGTGAGGGTATTCCCCCATTCAGTGGAATTCCCTTTTCCCAGGACAGCTGAGTCCCCTGGGCCACTAGAAGTGCCGCTTCCAGGACCTGCTCTTTTGCTATCCAGGGACCATTGGCCTTGACATCCACCAGCCTCTTCCTGGAAGGCCCCTGGTCTGTCACTAGAGTCCTTTCTGTCACAGGGCCCGTTTGTTCCATCCCAGGGGCCCCAAGATCCTGACTCCTCAGATTTTAGGGTGAGGGTATTCCCCCATTCAGTGGAATTCCCTTTTCCCAGGACAGCTGAGTCCCCTGGGCCACTAGAAGTGCCCCTTCCAGGACCTGCTCTTTTGCTATCCAGGGACCATTGGCCTTGACATCCACCAGCCTCTTCTTGGCCTGGTGCACCTTCCCTGTCCCTGGAGCTCCCTGGCCCTCCATGGGTCCCTCTGAGTGTGCCATCTCTCTCCTGCAGAGAACTAGAAGCTCTGGAGTCTGGGAGTCGGTTCCCAGCACCTATGCTGCCTTGGTCTTCCCAGCCTGGGGCCCAAGCACTGCTCACCCCTTGCTTGTTGGCATCCCCTGACACTGATTTATCCATTCCCCTAGGCACAGAACTGCTGTCCAGGGCCTGGCCTGGCCTTTCTGAGCTCCCCCAGCCTGCTCTCACCCTTCTGCCTCCCCGCACCGAGTCCCCACCTCCCTGAGGTGCCCATCCTGCCTGGCCAGCAGCTCCAGGGTCTGCTATCCCTGGGCCTGCTCTCCCCAAGTCCTGTTCATGCCCAGATTGCAGAGCAGCTATTCCTGCCCAGCTCTCACCCTCTACTGACCCTTGACCACCATCATAAAACCCAGACGACCCCATATCCCCTGCTTGGTTTGCAGACTTGCCCTTCCCATTGGGAGCCTTTTGGCTCCTAGGAGATCCTGGGATTCCAGAAATTTCTTGCCACTCACTGACTCCCGATTTTCCCTTAGAACCAACAGTCCCCAAAGCTTGAGGGGTCCCTGAGGTTCCACAGCCCCCAAGACCATTCCTGGAGCCTTGCCCATGTGAAAGAGTCTCTGACCCTCCCTGAGTCCCCAGCAGCCCTGGGTCCTTGAGGCTGTTCGCATCTGCAGTCCCCAGCATTCCCAACATCCCAGAACCCACCCCAAGACCTGCTCCATTTACAAGCCCCATTTTTCTGCCCCTCTCTGGACCATCCTTGAAGCTTGTACTGTCATGAGATGCCTCTGAGGCAACCCCATAGCCTGACCCATGCCCCCTGGCATCTTGGCCTCTGGGTCCACCCTCATCTCCCACTTGAGCCAAGGAGCCTGTTACTCCAAACCTCCCTGAACCATCTCTATAGCCCTTCTCATCTCCTGGTCCCATTTCCCCAGATCCTCCTGAGCCATCCCTATAATCTCCTTTACCCCCTGGGTCCATTCCCTTACTACCCCCTAAGTCTCCCCTATAACCTACTTCATTCTGTGAGAATATCCCCCCAGAATCCCTTAAACCATCCCTATACTCTGATTCACTTCCCAAAAGCATCCTCCTAGAACCCTCTAACAAATCCTCTGACCCAATCTTCCTAGAACCCCCTAAACCATCCTTATAATCTTCCTTTCTTCTTGAACCCATTCCTTCAGGAGCCCCCAAATCTTTCCTATAACCTATCTCACCTACTGACTCCATTGCCCCCGAACCCCCTGTACCATTTATATAACCTGCTTCACCCCCTGGCCCCATTCCTCCAAGACCCCCTGAACCATCTCTGAAGCCTGCCTCATCCTCTGGCCCAGATCTCCCAGGCCCAAGACTCCTTCGTCCTCCTCCATAAGCTGTTCTGCCTCCATTTCCCTGAGGCCCTGGAATTTCTGATCTATCCCCATAGCCTAGCACATTGCCAGACCCATATGCCTGCTGGCTCTCAGAACCAACCCCATCATGAGAAAGTAATGCCTTGGAGCACCTGACATCATCCCAACCAGTTCCAGGCCCAGATGCCCTGGTACCAGGGACCCTCGTCCCATCCCTATCAATCACCTTTCCTGCTGCCCTCAGAGAGCCTGGCTCCATGGCTCCTGGATCCCCAAAGCCATCATCATAGCCTCTTTCTCCAAAGGACCCCAGAGCTCCTGAGGTCCTGAAGACCCCATAATCTCCAGTTTGACCCCAAGGACTTACTGTTCCAGAGCCCCTTGGTTCTGCTCCCACATGTCCCTCCCCAACTGTCTCCACTGTCTCAGAAGCCCCCAGGCCACCTCTACCCACTGATATCACTGTACCAGGACTCCCTAGGCCACCACCCCCAGGACCCATTTCCCCCTGGCCTCTTGATGCATCCCAATGTCCCACCTCACTCATGGGCACTCCTTCACCAGGGCCACCTGGGCCATTCTTGAAACTGTCAACTCTCCCAGATGCCTTTTCCCCTAGACCATAACCATCTTTGTTTCCAGGCCACATTCCCCTAGGCACCCATGATCTATGCCTGTAACCACCCCCTTCCTCAGACTCTATTCCCCTAGGTGCCCCAGAGGCAACCCTACAACCAGTATCTTGACCAGATCTCACTTCTCCTGGTACCCCTAAGCCATCAATGTAACCAGCCCCATTTTTAGGACCTACTCCCTTAGAATACCCTAAGCCATCTCCATAACTAGATTCCATTCCCTCCAGATCCTCTAAGTTACCCTTATAGCCCATCTCACCTCTAGGTCCTTGTCCTCTGGAGCCCCCTGACTCATTCCAGAAATCTGATGCAGACTTGATTGCTCCAGAACCAGTCTCTCCTAGTGTCACCCCAGATCCATGAGCATCCAGGCCTGGAATTAGTCTGTGATTTCTGGAATCCAACTCTCGACCAGACCCCATTTGCTCAGACACCTGGGTATTACCCATACCCCTCTTCCCTCCACCAGACCCCAGCACTCCAGACCCATGGTGAGCCCTCTGACCCACTGTCAAGCCCTGGGAAGACTGGAGGCTTCTGGAGCCTTCCTTTGTCCCATGTAAGTCCCCAGCTGTCTCCTGACCATTTTTCCAACCCAAGCCCCTTCCCTTGAGCTCCTGCATGCTCCCTTCCCAGTCCCTGGGGCCTCCAGAATCATTTTTGTATCTCCTTCCCTCAACTATAGACTTCCCTGAGCTCTCATCCTCTGCCACCTGCCACTCCTCAGCTTTGGCCTCAGGACTCAGGGGGAATTTTCCACCACCTGGTATTGATGGTTCCCGGAAATCCTTGCCACCAAATGTCTGTCCCAGAGACTCCCCTGCTCTCCCATGGTTGGAATCCTTGCCCCCCTGAGAGCCCCTGGATCCAGGGCCCATGCTTGCCTCAGAGCTAGTACCTCTTCCTCCAGGATATCCCAGGGTCCCAGGACCTCCTGCCACACTGCTATCTCCAGCTTCCCCCAGGCTAGTCCTGTGACCCCACTCTGCCCTTTCCTCTCCTCTTCCACTTCCCCTGCTCAGACCATCCCATCCCTCCATCTCCTCCAAGCCATCTGCCTGTGACATCTTCTCCATCACGTCCCCTTGCAGCCAAGACCCCACAGGACCAAACTGTTGTTCTTGGCCCTGCCTGTCTTCTCGGTGCTCTTTTCCTTCCAAGCTGTCCCCCAGTCCTCCAGCCTGAGGAGGCCTGGATCCACCTTCCCAGCCTCCTCCTGTTCCCCAGCATCTGTCTCCATCACTGCCTCTGTCATGATCTTGCTGTTGTCCTTCCATGAGACCCAACCCTGAATCTGGTTCCTCGTCCTGTAGATGGGGTCTCCCTGGAAGGCTTCTGCCCCAGCCTCCCTCTCTGTGGAACTGATCTTCCCCAGAAAGAGTGACTCTGTCTCCCTTTGCTTCGGGAAAACCCTCTCTCACCTGCCCAGGGCCCCAGGCAGAGTTGGCTGTCCCCTTGTCCCCCATCAAGGAGTAGCTATGCCCATCAAGACCATCTCTCTCTGGACCTGCTGTGAGCTGGGGCCTCTGAGCCAGCCCACCCCCTTTAAGGGAGTCCTCCATGGGGTCCTGCTTTCTGGGTTTCCCTCTCTCTCCATTGATCCTCCCAGAGTCCTCTGCCTGTGAGGCCTGGGCTCCTGTTGCCTGCAGCTGGTGGTCATCACTGGTGGTCAGAAGGCTTTTATCTTTCTCAGCTTTGGTCAGGAGGTGTTTTCACAGGATGTCAACACCCCCATAGAGAGACAAGAGAAAAGACAAAAACCCCTGTTATACAGGGCCAAGACACTTACCTGAGCCCAACTCCTTTGCCTGACCCCCGGTTTCCCCAGCAGAGAAACAGGTTGACCATATGAAAAGGAAGCCAGGATGTGTTGGCTGATAAACCATAAACCCATCACTTCCTTCCCAGTATCCACAGGGTACCCCATCCTAATTCCTGGTACATGAGGATTTGGGAGAAAATGTAGAGGTCAGAAATCATTTGCTTATCAACCTACCATAAGCAGATACATGATTTTTTAAAAGCTTGACCTGCCCTACTGCCTACCTTCAAATGTTTACTTTACAGTTTCCTGGGACCACCTTGAACCCAAAACCCAATCCCAGTGGAGTCTAAGGGCGTTTTCTGGTCTGGCTCAGGGACTGCTCATCCATGTTGAACCATCCACATTGTCCCAAGCCCTTTCCAGGACACTAGGCCATCTTGGACTTGTGCCCGCAGAGTAATTCCAAGGGCCCTGATGGAGCAGATGTGGCTGAGGAGGATGTGGCTGGCCACGAGAGTCTGCATGGGCAGTGGACCAAGAAGAGAACTACAGAGCCTCCCCTTCTCCAAGAATGAGGAACAATTAAAGAGCAGGTGACTAACAACTCAGAGAAGGAGGATGGGAATGGTTGCACAACTGTAAGAATGTAACCAGTGTCACTGAAAGGGACAGGTAGAAATTGAATCAATGTATGTTTTTGTGGTGTATATTCTCAATAACAACAACAACAAATGATTTTTTTAAAAAAAAAAAAAAGCAAGGGATGAATGTTTCCTGGGAGGTAAAACTGCTCCAGGTTGAGAGCCATTGTTCTAAGATATGAGACAATTTTCTTGTTTATTGATTGCTTTCTGGTCATCAAAATATAAGCTACAAAAGGACAGGGGATTTGTCTGCTCTGTTCACAAATGTATCCATGTGCCTAGCAGAATGTCTGGCACATAATAGGTGTCCAATAAATATTTACTGAATAAATAAATACATGCACACACACAAATGCCTGACTATAGGAAGCCTCACCTGCCCTTGGCCTTCCTCATGCCCTCCCCACCCTGAGATCATGCTTTGGGAGAGGCAGGGAAAGGCAGAGGGATGAACCACTCACCTTCAACCACCAGCCAGGCGCTGGAAACGTGGAGCCCGGTGCCCAGGGAATAGAGACCCATGTCTGAGAAACGGGCCCCCTTCACCTTCAGCCGGTGGGTCAGCCCGTCAGGGGACACAGACACTTCATATTTGTCACTGTGCCGGAGTGGCCGATGCTGGAAATGCCAGGTGACATTGGGGCAGGGGCTGGAGAGAGTGCACTCAAAGACAGCATTGCCCTGAGGCGCACAGCGGACCTCAGCCAGTGGGACCACTACCCTGGGGGGGATGGCTGCCGGGAAACAGGAACAGGGGAGTCAGCATGGCGGCTCCATATAGTGCTGCCTGACACAGTGGGGCTGGGTGTTCTGAAACCCATGTTCAGACCAGCACAGCTATAAACTCCCCATGTTACTGTGGATGGGTCATCTCCTTGCCCAGGTGTCAATTCCCCAGATACGATATATTTTGATGTAATTAAAATAGTATAAGATAAAATTGCTGCTTGTGTGTAGTGTTGATTTGATTTTGACTCATAGTGACCCTAGGGGGCAGAGTAGAGCTGTCCCATAGGGTTTCCTGTAATTTTTACAGGAGCTGATTGCCAGGTCTTTCTCTTGCAAATGGGGAACCTTTCAGTTAGCCTCTGAGCACTTAATCATTGCACCACCAGGGGTCCTTCTATGATAAATGAGGGACTGTATTTTGTGATTGCCAGGTTATGATCAGTGGGCTGTTTTCAGCTCTGGAATTCCATAAATCTAAATCCAAAAGCTACATCTGGGGGCAAGGTGAATACAGGAAGGAAACCAGGATGCCATTACTTTATGTATGTTAAAATTTTAAGGACAGCCCTGAAGTAGGTATTATCATATCTTTTTCATAGATGAGGAAACTGAGGCTCAGAAAGTTTAAGTGATTTGCCTTAATCTTACACAGCTAAGAGGTGGTCCAACTAGAATTCAAAGCCCTGTCTGGTTGACTCAGCCCATGTTCCTTTTCCCACACCAGGTAATGCCTGGGGTATTCAAAGCCCCACCCTAGGCATCCCAGGTCCTTCTGTCTTCCTCAACCTTGATTCAGCCATGTTCTTGACCATATGTGTGCCCAATGCTTCCTTTACACAGGCCTCTCTTTCCTTCCAAGAGGCCTCTTAAGCTATCCCATGGTTTGAGGGTCATGTGATGCTGAGGGAGGAAGGAGTGGTTCTCAGGTGAGGAGATGTTGCATGGGTGGCAGGGAAGGAAGAGGTGAATATAGGGCACAAGCAATCTTAATCTGGGTATTGATTCTTGCTGGGAGCTGTGGGAGATGAGGACAGTGCATCAGAAAGGAGTGAGGTTGAGTAGTTGAACCTGTGGACTTGGGACCATAGTCGCAAGGGACATTGAGCTGAATTGGCATAACATACTACACAAAACATTGTTCCACCTCCTACTTTGGCAAGTAGCGACTGGGCTCTTAAAAGCTTGCAAGCTGCCATCTAGATGCAATGATGGGTCTCTCCTCATCCAGAGCAAAGAAGAATGAAGAAAACCAAAAATTCATGGATACAATCAGTCCTAGCGACTGGTACACCATCCAATCTGCAGCCTATATGACTATGAGACCAGAAGAACTAGATGGTGCCTGGCTACCAATGTCAACCACTTGGAAGGAGATCTATGTAGGAGATCCTGGATAGAGAGGGAGAACAAGGTGGACAAAACTCAAAATCCTTTGGAGAAAAAAAAAAGGGAGTGGAGCAGGTTTGCTGGTCTGATAGAGCCTGGTGGAACCACTGAGACTATGGTCCCTAGCTGCCTGTAAGGTCTAGAATTGAACCCACACCTGTGGCTTCCAGCCAAGCAAAAGACAGGCATGTGAGTTGAACATTTACCTGAGGTAGATACACTCCTTAGAGAGAACAATCATGGGAGAAAGAAGGGCTGTGTATGCACAGGGAGACAGCTCACAGGGCAGGAGGGCATGGAGGGATGGACACAGGGAAGGGGTAATTATTGGGAGGAAGTGGGAGGGGAGCTGTTGCATTGTGGTAAATTGTAGTCAATGTCATGAGACAAAGTGTATGTGAACTGCTGTATGGAAAGTGAATTTGCTCTGTAAATTTTCACCCAAATCACAATTAAAAAAAAAAAAAAAAAGGAGTGAGTTTATGGATTGAGGCTACAAAATTAGTTCAGATCTGATCTGAAAATAATTGGGAGCTACAGACAGTCTATAAGTAAAAGCATGGCATGTAAGCTCCATGTCTGTGACTATAATTCAACAGAGCCCAGCTCAGCACAAAGAGACAGACTTTGGATCAAGGCTTTTTAAAGACAAAACTCATAATTGACTCATATGGGTGTGCATCCCTCTCCCCAAGCAGACTTTGCTGGCATTGAGATATGGGCTGTATCACATTTATGGTCCTCAGAACATGGCACAGACATGACCACGACCCCACCCTTCACTTCCTCAGTGAAGACCACTCACCACCAGCCTCCAGCTCTGTGGAGAAGACTTCAACATCCTCCACCCTGACCTGGTAAATGCCAGCGTCCTCTGGCTGCAGGTCCTGGATCTGGAAGTGGTAACGTTTCCCCAGCCGTCGCAGACAGTGCTTGGTCTGGTTGTCAAAGCCAAAGGGGATCATCTCGCCATCCTGAGGCCAGAGAAGAAAGGGACATTCAAAGACTCAATCCTACTCTGATCACAACCAGAAGTTATCTCCCACTGGCCTACGCGTCAGACAACACATTCTTGGAACTAGAAAAGAGCAGGAGAGTAAGAAGGAGCAGGGCTTGAAGAGAGGGGAGCAGTCTGAGGTGGAAGTGACTAAATGTTCTTGGAATTTCCATCTCTCTTTCCATGGAGGAAATAATCTGCAAGTCTTATGTAAAGCGGTACCTGAGGTTGATGAAAGAGCGAAGCTTAGGCTGCCAGTACAACCACTACCCAAGCTACTCTTTCCAGATCATCAGGAGACAGGAAGCAACACCATGGCCCAGGGGCCCCAGCTCATTCATTCCTCAAGGAGAACATTGAGAGTGCCATTAGATGGCACTAAGGCTTTGCACACCCAGTACTATACACATGCCCACTTCAGCTAAGCCCTTGCTGGACTTGCTCCTTGCTGAATAGTAACCACAACTAACATTCATCAAGTGCCCACTGTGGGGCAGGAACTGTTGTAGACACTTGGAACCCGTCAGCAAATAAAACCAAAGCCTCCTTCCCTCAGGGAGTTCAAATCCTGTGGGGGAGACAGACAACAAATATCATAAATAAGTAAATAACGTAATGCGTGTTAGAAAATGATAGAACTAGTAGAAAAAGAAAAGGGAGAGAAGGGTGAGGGTTCAGGAATTCCAGAGTGGGGCTAGGGGAATGAGGTCATATGAACAGGGAGGTAAGGGGAAGCCTCACTGAGAGTGAGGGAGAGAGCTGTGTGGATATCCAGCAAGAGCATGCCAGGCAGAAGGAACAGCTAGGGCAAAGGGACTGAGTAACAAGGGGAAGAGTAATAAGAGGGGGTCGGAGAGGTAAGGGGGGCAGCAAGTCATGCATTATCCTCTTTATCATCTCAATATGCCATGTGACCAGTCCTATGTTATCCTCATTACACAAATGAGGACATTGATGCATAGGGAAGATAATGATCTTGTCCAAGGTCACAAAGCTAGTAAGTGGTGGAGACAGAATTAATTTGACTACAAAACTATCATCATGATTTTCTGGGCACCCCCCACACATACTTGCCCCTGCCCCCACCTGGTGACAGTTAGTAACTCCTATGGCCCATGTAGGATGTGTCAAGTGTCTGGAGAAAGACCTCTGCTATAAGGGGTAAACTTACTCAGCGCCTCTTTTTACCCTCCCATGCCCTGAGTTAGCCACAGCTTACACAGTTGCAGGCCTGGCTGGAGAAACTGGGTACTCAATGAGAGGGAAGAGGTCTCTCTGGAATGTTTGCACCAGGTCTGACCTGACTCCAATCATGACAGGGGGACCCATCAACCCATGGTTCCTCCCTCCCAGGTCCTACAGCATCCCTTCCAGGACCCCCTCCTATGGCTCCTCCTGCTCACCTTATACAAGTAAATCTTGCTCTCAGAATTCTTGAGATCCAGCTCCAGGTCAAATGTTGCGACCCCCTCCTTGGTGACCTTGACGTGTCTCAAGTTGGAGATGGCGTTGATGTACTAAAGGGAGGTACAAATCCCACCAGGGAGCTCTCGGATCTCTCTGTAGGGAACTCCAGACCCATGATATCCCAGATGAACACTCACATGCCCATTTGACAAGTAGGGAGACTTAAGCCCCACAAGGAAGGAAATTGTCTAGGATTAGCGATCAGGTCAGGAAGGCAACCAGGAAAGGAACCCAAGTGTCCAGGTACTCTGAGAACATGGTAGGGTTTTTCCAGTCATCTGTTCTTTCATCCACTAAACATTTGTTGAGCACCTACTGTGTGCAAAGCTCTCCACTGGGACCTGTGTTAAGCAGATCAGACAGCTTGGAGGAAAGTTGCACTGGACAGCAGGTTTAATGAACCTCATTCAAGTTAATAAAATATTATTTCAAGATAATGAAAACTAGTTGTGTTCCATTCCCAGAAAGAAAAAAAAAAAAAGTACATAAAGCACTTAGCCTAGTGGGGCTTAACGTCAGCTATCATTAAGCTGACTTAGGTTAGGTTGGAATCCCGGGGTGGTACAGTTAATATATTGGGCTGATAATGGAAAGGTTGGAGGTTTGAGTCCACCCAGGAGCACCCTGGAAGAAAGGCTTGACTATCTACTTCCAAATAATCAGTCACTGAAAACCATATGGGGCAGAATTCTACTCTGACCCACATGGGGTGGCCACGAGACTGAGTCAACTGCATGGCAACTGGTTCGGTTTGGGATTATAGTTAGGTTGTTGTTGTTGTTGTTATGTGCTGTTGAGTCGGACCCGACTCATAGCGACCCCTCCTTGGGTTTCCAAGGCAGTATCACTACGGAAGTAGATTGCCCCATCTTCCTTCCGAGGAGTGGCTGGTGGGTTTGAACCGCCAACCTTCTGGTTAGCAGTCAAGTGCCTTAGCCACTATGCTACCAGAGCTCCCTATAGTTAGGTAGGTCCAGGAAAAGATTTCCCATACAGTTTACAAAAATGAAATGTAACAGAATGAAAGCACTAACAGAAACTGTGAGATTCCCTTCACTGGAAAGCTTTAGAAATAAGACAGCTGCTCATGTCTAAGGACACCTGATGACACAAATGTTAAGTGCTCGGCTGCTAACCAGGAGGTTGGTGGTTTGAATCCACCCAGCTACTCTGAGGGAGAAAGAACTGGCAATCTACTTCTGTGAAGATTATAGCCAAGAAAACCCTATGAGACAGTTCTACTCTGACATGTGAGTTCGCCATGAGTGGGAATCGTCTTTATGGCACCCAAAAATAGCACTGATTTTGATGGTGATGATAGCTGACATTAAGCCCTACCAGGCTAGGTGGTTTATTACTCATTTATCCTCTCAGCAACCCTGTGAGGTTAAGTCCAGCTATAATCCTTATTTTACAAATGAAGAAACTGAGGCACAGATGCCTTAACTTTTCCAAAGCCCCAGAGTTTAATAAGTAGCAGAGTCCACTTTCAAAGCCAGTGCACTCTTGACTTGGGAGCCTGGCTCCTTAGTCAGAAGTCTTATTTCTAGAGCTGGGACTTTGGGCTAGATGAGTGCTGGCTCCTCCACCATAGTTTCCCAAGTCCTGCCTCCAAACACAATTCCAGGCTTGTGGCTTTAGAGCACACCTGCACTCCTGGTGTGTGGAGTAGGGAAGGTGCAGGGTACCTGCGCCATCTTGTCCTCACGCTCCTTCCGCATCTCTTGCAGCTTGTGTAGCATCCCCCGGTAGTCCACGATGCCATACTTCATGCAGATCCTCTCATAGTCCTTCCGGTCTGCAGTCATCAGCAGCTGCCACACCTGCTCAAGGTCTATCTTTTTCTCTGGGGCTGGGGCAGGGACCCTGGGGAGCAGGGGAGTAAGGTCAGAGGTCAGAGGAAACTAAAGTCCTGGCCACCCAGGTTTGGCATCCCAGGAGACCTAGGGAGCTGCTCTGTGTCTTCCTGAAAAACTGGAAAGCTCTGTGACTAACTACTGGTAGGGACTAGAAGGACCCAGAGATGGGCACATATAGGCCTCAACCCACAGCCCCAGTTTTAACTGGTAAAATTCTGCTCCTAATAGTTTGTATGTAGATTTCTCAGTAAGGTGTCTTTGAGAGGAAAAAAATGTTCTGTTGCTTAAAAAAGTTTTTTCAATCATTGTTCTAGTGGAGCACACTTTTTTTTTTTTTTTTTAAAGTAAATCAGGGCCCAGAGAGGAGAGATGATTAAAAACTAGTTGCCCAGAGTTGACTCTGACTCATGGCAACTCTGTGCATGTTGGAGTAGAACTGGGCTCCATAAGGTTTTCAATTGTTGATTTTTTCAGAAATAGATTGCTAGGCTTTTCTTCTGAAGCACCTTTGGGTAGACTTGAACCTCCAACCTTTTGGTTAGCAGTTGAGCATGTTAACCATTTGCACCACCCAGGGACTCTAGAGAGATGATTAGCTCAAGGGTATAGAGCTTAATTAAGTGGCAGATCTAGATCCAGAATTCCCAGGTCAGTGTTCTTTCCATCCTACCACCTACTACCAGATACCATAAAACTCACTGCCATAGAGTCAATTCTGCCTCATAGCAACTCCCATTGTTTTTCCAAGGCTATAAATCTTATGGAAGCAGACTGCCCCATCTTTCTTATATGGAGCAGCTAGTGGGTTCAAATCACCAACCTTTTGGTTAATAGCCAACTTCCTTAACAATTACACCACCAGAGCTCCTTACCAGATACCATGGAGTCCTTTAAATTCCTCATGAACAGACCCAGACCCACCTCTTTTTCAACATCTTCCGGAAGTCTGTCAGCTCCTTTGTGAGGTCTAGAAAAGGATCAGGAATGAAGCCCCAGTGCCAGGGTGGGGATGACCTAGGCCTAAAGCAGGGCTTTTTCTGTAGGGAGGTAATGGAGGGAGGACCTGTGATCCTAAGCTGGCACTAGAGCTTTTGAAAAGAGCTCTCCTGTGGACTGGTGGTTACTCACAAGGTGCCCAGAGTTGGGGATGGCCTGGCCAGGTGGGGAGCACCAGGCAAGCAGTAACCTGTCCCCAAAATGCTGCATGGAGATTCTGACAAATTCGCTTACCTTCTGGGGGCTCTTTTTGCCTCTTCCGACTCTTCCGAAAGCCAACTGGACCACCCAGGGAGGAGAAGAAGGAGTTGATATAGATAGGTAGAGAGAGAGGTAAGACACATTGATGGTCTTCCTGAGAAACTGAATACCAGGTCCCTGTCCTCCCCACTCTCCTCTGAGACACAGTAATATCCCAGGAAAAAGGATGGAGCAAAGCAAAGGTTGTCCATGAGCTTTGATATCCTAGAGCCTTAGTAGGATGAGGTGGAACTGACCTGATAATCATCTTGTGCAGGGAAGGCACACTCACATATCTACAGGGACCAGGGAGGTGGCATAAATGAATGAAGTGGCTACTGGTGACCACAAAAACTGAAGAACATCTAAAGGGGGCAGCTGCCCTTTCCTTTCACCTAACAGTTACCATTTTGAGGAGTACGCCCAGTATTTCCAAATATGTTAGAAGCTGCTGATCTTATAGCCATTCCTAATCCCCTTCTTTGCCTGCTTCCACTAGAGAGGCTGTTGTTGTTGTTATGTGCTCATAGTGACCCTTCCTTGGTATCACCATGGAGGTAGATTGCCCAACCTTCTTTCTGAGGAGTGGCTGGTGGGTTTCAACTGCCAGCTTTCTGGTTAGCAGTCAAGTCCCTTAGGCACTACGCTACCAGAAATAGAGAGGAGAGAAAAGCTAAATACTTGCCTTCAAGGTTCCCTTGCAAATAGAGGTAGCCATCTGACACAGTTCTGACCAATTATATGTAAACAGAAGTCAGGTGCATTCCTGAGAAATCTTTTGCTTTCTTTATAAAAGGGGTAGAGGTAACTGGAGCCTCCTCTTTTGCCTTCTTCCTATCTTGAATTTGGGTTAAATTTGGATCTGCAGCAGCCGTCTTTTGACTATCAGATGATAAACGAATTGCTAAGAATGGCAGAGCAATTGAGACAGCAAGAGTTTGGCTCTTTGGTGACAGCAGTGAGCTGTGTTATGAGGCCTGGATTATATTTATGTGAACTAATTAAAGATCTTTATTTATTGATACTCTTAGTAGGGTTTTCTGTTACTTATAGGTGAAAGTATAACCTCTTGAGAGACTAGATCTACTTTTTCAAGAGACATCTATCTTCCAATAATTACATGTTGGCAATGAATTTGAAATTTTGAAACACTGTCTAAACCAAACAAAATCCCTGAGAAACGGGAGAGAGAAGGATCCGGCCTTCCTATTACCAGTACCCCATCTCTGACATAGGCCCATACAAAACAGCCTTTGTGCAGTGAAGAAACTGAGGTCCAAAGGGGAAACGAAACCCACTGATTGAGTTAGAACAGGATCCAGACTAGAAACCAATTTCCAGGTCCTGACCTCATTCCACTGAACTAAGAGAATATCATTCAAACATCTGCAACTGGGCATTTGCCAAGTGTGTGCTGTTAAAATCACACACAGGGTTAGTGTGCAGGTAAATGAAACTTAGGGCTCCCTCCACTCCCTCCACTGGCTGGGTGGCCTCTGGTTCCTCTGAGGGCTCTCTGGGGAAGAAGCCAGGACGGACTCCCCATGCACGGACTAGACAGGCACCTTCAATGACGGTGAGCTTTGCGGAGCAGGTGGCCTCTCCATACATATTCACTGCTGTGCAGCGATACAGGTCTGTATCCTCACCCGTCAGCTTGTTGATCTGCAGAAAGGGTAAGGGCAGGGGAATAGGGTTAACATGGTCCTTTCCCTCAAGGAGCTCAGTCTTCATCTGGAGAAACAGACTTCAAAACAAAAAATAGCACCAGGACAGAGAGTGGATGTTCCAAGTTTTTGCCATCAGTGGCAATGTGACGTGGTAGAATAAGCTGGATTTTTGGGTCTGATGGATCTGGCACTGAGTACCATCTCTGTCATGTATTACAGGCTGTGGGATCTTGGGCAATTTGCTTAACCTCTCTGAACCTTAGTTAATATTGGGATAATCATACCTCAAAAATGAGTGATGGGTGACAGAGGAACAACTCAGAAAAGGAGGGTAAGAATGGTTGCACAACTCAAAGCATGTGATCAGTGTCACTGATTTGTACATGAATAAATGGTTGAAGTGTATGTTTTCCTGTGTATATTCTCAACAACAACAAAATAAAATAAACGTAGCAAGTGGTCAGGATTAAATCATATAAATGATGTCAAATGCTTAGCCAGGCCTGGTACATGGTAGGTATTCACTGATGAATAGCTACAATATTACCAGTATTTATCAACATTAATTGAGTGCTCACTAAAGGCCAGGTACTGAGTAGACACATTATATAAGCCTTTAATCTTCATAACAACTCCATAAATCAAAACAAACCAAACTCACTGCCACCAAGTTGATTCCCACTTATAGCAACCCTTATTGGGTTTCCAGGGCTGTCAATCTTGATAGAAGCAGAATGCCTCATCTTTTTTTTTTTTTTCATGGAGCAGCTGGTGGGTTCAAACCATTGACCTTTTTTTTTGGTTAGCAGCCACATGCCTTAACCACTACACCACCAGAACTGCTTAACAACTCCATAAAGTGGGTACTATTATCACCCCAGAGTGCCCAGGTGGTGCAAACAGCCCTCAGTTGCTAAGAGAAAGATTTATACTTTGAGTCCACTCAGAGGCTCCTTGGAAGAAAGGTCCAGTGCTCTACTTCTGAAAAATCATCCATTGAAAACCCTATGGACACAGTTCTACTTAGACACACATGGGGTCATCATGAGTTGGAGATGACTGCAACTGTTTTATTAATTTTTTTAAAAATAGCTATTATTATTCCAGTTTACAGATGAGGAAGCAGAGGTACTTACAAGTAACATGCAAAGGCCACACAATTAGTGGATGGTGAAGCTGGGGTTGTAACCCAGGCAGGCTGACTCTAGAGCTTGTGCTCTTTCTTTCTTTTTTTAAAATTGTGATTTTGGTGAAAGTTTGAGGAGCAGATTCATTTTCCAGTCAGCAGTTCATACATTTTGCTTCATGACATTAATGGCAATCCCCACATTGTAATGGCTCTCTTTCCATTTCCTCCCTGTGGTTACCTTTTCCCAGTGTCCTTCTTTCCTATTCATTCCTGCCCTCTGAGCTATCTCCCTATGCAAATGCTGCCCTTTGGATCTCCCATGGTTGATTGTTCTAAGAAGGGTACCTACCTGGTATAATTCTTCACCTTGTAGAACTGTCTATTGTTTGGCTGGAAGTCATGGGAATGAGTTCAATTCCAGGCCTGAGTGGTGACTAGGGACCATAGTCTCGGGGGTTTTCACCAGTCTCTCTCAGACCAGTAAGCCTGATCTTTTTTGTGATTTTGAGTTTTCCACATTTTTTGACCACTGTATCTTGGATCTCCTATTCTGATCCTTTTCTGAGTGGTTGACAGTGGTAGCCATCTAGTTATTCTGGTCTCAGTGTTATGTAGGCTGAGGTTTGCATGGTCCATTGGTCCTTTGGACTAGTTATTTCCATGTGTCTGATTTTCTTCATTCTCCTGGCTCTTGGTGAGGAGAGACCCACTGTTGTGTCTAGATGGCTGTTCATAAGCTTTTAAGACTCCAGTCACTATTCAGACCAGTAGGATGTAGAACAATGTTTTTGTGTAGTATGTTATGCCAATTGAGCTTGATGTCGAGGGCCCAGTGACTCACCCCCTCAAGCTAAGAAGTTATCATAATTTGTCCCCTGTTAGTTCTATTATTATGTGGGTGTTTTTATAGAACACACAAATCTATATGTAGAAATAGCATCTGCCAAACTTATGTATATATAGTCATGAGTATATTCCTTTTTGCCTAGCCATACCTGATCATTTAGCCTGTCTACCTATGTATCCACCTGTAGGTTAATGTTTGTAACCATTAACAATGCATTATTATGTATGTAAAGTGTTTACCTTTAGTTATCTGTAACTCTTGTGTGCCTCTTTGTGTCTTCCTTTTCCTTAGTGTTATCGTGGTGTTTACCCACTTTTGGTATATTGCCTTTCCCTTCACCCAAATCAATACTTGTCTCTTACCTATCTAGCAATGTCCCCTCTTCTCTCCTCCCATGCCTGGTAGCCAACAAAAAAAGTTTCCTTCCATGTGTAAACCTTTCTTTGACTTTTTATAACTGTGGACTCATACAATATTTGTATGACTCATACAATATTCTGTGATTGACTTATTTTACTCAGCATAATGTCTCTCAAGTTCATCCATGTTATGCAGTGTATCACAGATTCTCACTTATTTTTTATGGTTGCATAGTATTCCGTTGTGCGTATGTACCATAATTTGGTTATCCATTCATCCTTTGATGGGCACTTAGGTTGTTTCTAACTCTTTGCTATTGTGAGCTTGTGTTCTTAAGCTCCAATCTACACTGCCTCACAGGTATCAGCAGAGGTACCTGTGAATCTGCTAGATCCAGACCTGGCTCAGATGAGTTTGAGCCACAGGATGGAGTTGAGTGGATTCCACCTCAACTAAGAATATCTCCTGTTCCTCAGGGGATTGGAGGCTGCCAAGGAGAGCTTCAAAGGGGCGTGACAAGTTGAGTAGTCCCTGGTCAGGGGGAGGAGCCAGGGTTCTTACCTGCAGCACATGCTCCTTGCTGCCAGGGGCAGAAAAGATCTGATACTTGCTGGGATCATCAAGGTCACCTTTGGTGCATTGCCAATGTACCTCAGGTCTGGGCTTCCCACAGACCACAGCCCGAAAGATGGCATTTTTCCCTGCAGCAGGAAGAAGAAGAGGCAGGCTGGGAGAGAGGCAGATTAGGGAGTAGGGTGGCTGTAGACTGTATTGAGATTTTAATTTATGTGCATTCTCACAGCTCTAGACATTTCAACTGTCCATTCCAAGAAGGGTACTAGGCTGAGAAAGGGATGACATTTTCTGAGCCCCATGGGAGCTCTGGTGGTGTAGTGTCTAAGGCACTTGACTGCTAACCAGAAGGCTGGCGGTTCAAACCCAGCAGCCACTGCTCGGAAGGAAGGTTGGGCAATCTACTTCTGTAGTGACATCGCCTTGGAAACCCAAGAAGGGGTCACTATGAGTTGGGTCTGATTTGACAGCAGTGTGTTGCATTGATGTTGCGTTGTGTCCACTCTCTAGGGAGCAGATGAAAATCTTGGAGAGAAATGGCTGTTTGGTGGCAAAGGAGCTTTTTCTGAGGCCCAGGATTCCAGTCCCAGGAAAGAGTCTAGCCCCATGCTTGGCCTGGAAGCCTCAGAGCCACTCACCCTCAAGGAACCACTTACATTCTCCCCAGGAGCATCTCAGAAGGAAGCGGTATAGAGTGGAGACTCAAGAGCCCTTCCCAGTGACAAGAAACTAAAATTCTCACAATTTTGTTGAGTGTGGACTTGAAGTCAGATTTAGGAAAATAAAGTAACAATCTTTTTCTTTTTCTTTCCTTTTTTAACCAGAATGCTGTGGACTAAAATTCATCACAGGGACCTGTGTTGGGGAAAGAACACCAGTTCCCACCTCTTCCTTCATAGGCTTTATCTTACCACTTTCCTGAGCACTTTGCTCATGTAGCCTTCAAAAATGGCTTTCGTAGCCAATCTATGAGCCACTGGGGGCTTGGTTTGCTAAAGGCAAGGGTTGAGAAGGGTCGATATTTTAATTTCAACAGTACCTCTTTGTGGCAGCTTCCTTGAGGAAGGGAAGGGGCAGAGAGAGGCTAGTAAATATCATAACCTCTTCTTTGTCCCCTATATAGTATTTCCCCATCCTGGTCTTTCTCTTAGGAGCTCTGGTGGGATAGTGGTTATGACATTTGGCTGCTAAAAAAAGAAACAAAAAACGGTCCATGGTTCAAACCCACCAGTCACTCCATAAAAGAAAGATGAGATGGTCTGCTTCTGTAAAGATTTAGAGCCTTGGAAACCCAATGGGGGGGGGGGGCGGTCACTATGAGTCAGAATCAACTCAATGGCAGTGAGTTTGGTCTTTCTTGAAATATTTCTTATATCATATAGCATAGTACCTTTTCACTCCCTATGCCCACTCTGCTCCCCAGGTCCCTTGCCCCCTCCAGGGTTGCAGGCAGCCAGGCACTCCACAGGCATAGAAGATTCTGGGAGACACTATTTGGCCAGATGATGGACCTACAGCTGGGAGGCTAGCCCAGGAAAGTGGATGCCCAAGCCCTCCTCCCCTATACATGCTGGGAGGTGGGAGCAGGGGTCTTGCCTGCTCTCAGCAGCTCCCCTCCCAGGCCTCACCCTCCTGCAGAGCCAAAGGGACGGGTTTCTGCTCAAAGTCTGGCGTGCTGCATCCTTCAGGGATCTCTTCCACCAGCTGCCGGATGCTCACCCCAGGAATGGAAGACTTCTTGAGGGGCTTCCCTGCGGAAGGCAGGAGAGAGGGAGATGGGCTTCTCTGCAAGATGGAGCACCACCAGCTCACCCCAGGAGCAAGAGCCCCCCTTCTCTCTCCTGTTGCTGGGCTTGTCTCTCATCGCTCCTCCTGGGAATGATACATTTTACTCTTCCAGTGGGAATCTTGGTGGTGACTGTCCAGCAGTGGAATGGAGCCCCTGGTAAGTGGGCAAGGCGCACCCTGGGAAGAACCTGAGAGTCTCACTGGGGAAAATCTGCAGAAGGGAGCGTGGAACAGCTTCCTTCTCAGGAAGCAGGGGCCTAACTGGAGGGCTCTGTCCCCTCAGAAAAACAAACCCGAACTCAAAGACAATGCTAAAGAAAGAAAAGACAAGTGAGTTCCCAAAGATCTCTGACCCTCTAACTCTTCTATCCTCTTCACCTGGTGTGGAACACCAATAAAGGGCTGAAGATGACAGTGGGAGAGGAAGGAAGAGGTTATAGTAATCTCACCTGCCATAGTTGGGGCTCCTCTCAGGCTATTTTGAGGGTGGAGGTTGATCTCCTGAGAATAGAAGATAGAATTGCTTATGAGTGGTTCAGGCTGAGCTTATCTTACGCCTCTGAGCCCATCAATGCATCAGCCAATATCTAGGCTGGGAGCTGGGAAGAGCTACTGCCCCCAAGAAGGTCTTATCTAAGCCAAATTGAAGACACTGATTGGTGTCCTGCAATGTCCTGACCCCAGCAAAACTAGTCTCCCAGAGACCAAGAAGAGGGTAGTGTGCTGCCCAGTTGATACCATTCCTGCTAAAGGAAACCATGAGGCTGAGCCCTGAATACTCAGTTAGTGGCTTGACCTTCTGGTGGAACCTACACCCTTTGACCACTCAGAAGGTGAGACACAAGCTTTCACAAACCTCAGGGAATCAAACTCTGGGCGTTTAGGATTCTTCAAGCTGTTTAACAGCCTGGCCTTCTTGACTTTGGAATGTGAATTTGCCAGGGGCATTCTCTGAACCTCTGGGCTTCTCCCCCAACTCTGAGATTTTCTGGCAGGGCCCAGCAGCCTTCCACCTCCCACCTTCAACTAATCTGGAATTCTTCAGATCATCAGATCTGTGGGGGAGAGTCCCTGACTTGGATGATCTTAAGCCCTCCTCTAAGAAAACCAGTGGGATCCTCATAAACCCATCTGCTCCTCTCTGAAGCAAGTGAATTATAGTGTGAGGTGAACAAGAGTGTTTTCCAGCCTTTGCCAACCACCACCTCCATTGTTTCCCCCTGATTTCCTCTCAGTTGGATCTATCTGTTATGGTCATTGGGGAGTATCAGCCAGGACAGTGAAGGGATTAGTTTTGAGATGTGAGTGTCCTTGATGACAGTTATGAGAGGGGGTATGGGGAGCAATCCCATTTCTGTGTGGCTGACCTATGGCTAAGAGGTTCCATTTTGGGGTACTCTATTCCCTGCCCAAAAAGCCCTGTCATCAATATGGAATCAACCACGACAGAGAAAATTCCTCCTTCCAACTGACACTCTTATATTTCACAACTGGCCACCCACTGGCTTTTCTGGCCCCAGAGCATCCTTTTACAGCCCAGCTGCTGCCCCCTAGTGCACTGGAATGCCATGGAGTGCGCCAACTGCGTTCTGGAGAGGTCACAGGCGCTACAACCCACAGGTGTCACTGCCCCACTCTCATCCTCAGCCCTTTATTGGTGCTTTTCACCAGGGCAAAGAGGATGGAATGAGTAGCCTGCCATGATACAAGGAGTTACGCAGGAGGGTGAGGAAGGAAGGCAGCCACCAGTGGTGGAGGGCCCAACTGGCCATAGCTGAGGGAAGAGTCAGAGCTGATGCTTCAGAGTCCCCTGTCCCACCCACTCCCCAGTACAACCTATCTGGTAGAAACTGAGACCATTGGGCCCTGCCCATGAACTCCATGCTGGATTATTTTGAGCTCAGCACAGATATCTTCATCGTCATCATTATCAGTCAGTTACACAGCTATTTGTTATAACCCACTGCTATCGAATCAGATCTGACTCATAGAGACCACTCTTTGGATTTCTGAGGCAGTATCACTGAAGAAGTAGATTTTCCAACCCTCCTTCTGAGGGATGGCTTGTGGGTTTAAATCACCAGCCTTCTGGTTAGCAGTCAAATGCCTTAGGCACTATGCCACCAGAGCTTCTACTATTTGTTATGCAATAAGCATACATATTATTACAATAGTACCACTCCTCTCTGTCTTGTCTCCTGACTATAGGTCCCAGCTGAGAATTGAGACAGAAGCAGAACCTCTACATGAACTTGTGGACAGCTCTGTGTTAAACCATTTCATCCTCTGGACCCCCAACCTTTTCGGGAATAAGCCAGATTTGGTACAGCATCAATGATAAAGGACAAGAAATTTGCTTGTTTGGAGATTGGAGATGTTGTCTCTATTGGAGGGGATAGGGAAACAAATGAATTCTCTCCACCATACTCAGTCCCACATTTGAGAAGAAACCCAATTCTCAGCACCAAACAGCAACTAGTGTCCTCACTTCAGCCTATCAACAGGACTCTTATTCCTGGACCCCAGGCAGTGTCTCTCTGACCTCTCCCCAGAACCCACTACTCCCACCCACTGCCCTTATTCTCTGTTCATCCTGTGCAACCAGGTTCCTACAACCTCCAGCTTCTCAACTGGTGGGAGATGAAGCAGGGATAGCCAAACAGGGCTTCTCTCAATTGCTTTCACCACATTATTAATCAAGATACTGTAACAAGTCCCAGCCCTGGGGTCCTTATTCTGGACAGGTAGTGAGTTTTTTAATCTAGTCATCACATCAAACTCTAAGCCAGACAGTGTCTGGAAAATGAGAACCAGAACAGAACCACCCACTGGACTCACTGAAATTCTTTCCACTGAATATTCTGGAAACCTCTAAAAAGGATGTATATGCATCCTAGTGGGTAATCAGTCAGCCAGGGAATGTCGCTGGGCCAATTTCATACCCACTGCCTGCCCATTCTTAAGTAGAAAAACTAGAAAGAAGGTTGGTGTGCCCATCTCTGGCCCTACCCTGCCCTTTATGGGCAGCCAGGTGTGTGGTGCCCACTTACCTGAGTACACAGCGGCCTCCGGCCTCCTGTCTGTTCCGTCCTCTCGTTTCCAGCACTCTCTGCCAGAGCCTCTGATCTGACTGTGGGTGGACTGGCAGCACTAGAGCAGATGTAGGTCACTGCAGACTCCTCTGGCTCCCTCTGTCCCTCCCACTCACTCCGCCTCCTTCTCCAGTCTCACTTGGCAGGACAGGCCCCCCAAGGCTAATGCCTAACCTCAGGGGAGGTCAGAGATGGAAGGGTCCTGTAACATTAGCTCACTTAACTTCTCATTTTGCAGACCTTTGAGTGCCTAACCAGATAGCTTGATGCAAGTTTGCTCCATGTTGCCTCATTTTTGTTGTGTGTTGGCCAGTGGATTCTGACTCATAGTGGCCCTATAAGACAGAGTAGAACTGCCTTTTAGGGTTTCCAAGGCTGTAATCTTTATGGGAGCAGATCTGCCAACCTTTCACTTAACAGCTGCGCTCTTAACCGTTGTGCCACCAGGGCTCTTTGTTGCCTCATTCCATGACTCCTTTTTGCAAGGGTCTTCTCATCATTCAAAGCCTTCATTTTTTCAGCTGGTTGATCCTCTGGGGCTCTTGACACCATAAGTCACAAAGACACATGGAGCCACTGCCTTTTTGGGAATCACAACCAAAAGTATTATCAAACAGGTAACAAATTTCAGGACTAGTCACAGACCCACACAGGCAGGAGGGTATGATCCCAAAGGCTGAGTGGTCCAGCATACTTCACTGAGAGTGGTGGTAAAGGAGGCGAGACCCTGGGGACATTACAGTCAGGAAGCTTTCCCAGATGGAGCTTTTTAAAGGATAGCAAAGCTGACCTGACCAGCTGGGCTGGAGGCTGAAGTTGGCAGGGCAGATGGTTGGATTTTGGAGGCTGCATGGATGGAAGGTAGAAGCCAGGGTAGGATGGTTAGTAACAGATTTTCTTAAGGCGGGTGGAGCAGGCAAGGCTCAGAAAGAGGCAAGTGATAAGGCCACTTGGTCTGCTTTGGAAAATCTTCAAGGCTTTGGAAGCCATTTACGAATTTTTATCTCTATCCTAAGGGCTGTTAGAGTTTGTTTAAACGGGAGGGGTGACAGGATCCAATTTTTGTTTTTGAAATCTCCCCCTGACTGCAGGATAGGGAAGGAATTAGAAAAGAGCAGAAGCAAGAGGCAGAAGGCCAGCTCCCAGGCAGGTGGGAGCCCCAACAACCCCACCAAGGCACTCTTTCTTATAGCCTGGGCCTTCAGGGGCCTCTGAGCCACAAAGCTGTATCACCCTATCCACCCACTATCAACTAGTCAATTTTGACTCATAGTGACCCTATAGGACAGAGTAGAACTGCCCCGGGGGGTTTTCCAAGGTTGTAAATCTTTATGGAAGCAGACTGCCACATCTTTCTCCTATGGAGTGGCTGGTGGTGGGTTTAAACCAACAAGCTGAGCAACTGAATAGTTTAACCATTATGCTACGAGAGCTCCTCTGCATCACTCTGAGAGAACTCAAAAGAAAAGTCTCTCAGGAGATACAAAAAGGCTATGCCATGGGAGAAGCAATAAAGAAACAAGTCCTTAACTTCATTTATTTGGGGAATATCCATGTTAAAAGAGCTCTGGGTGGAGAATAACCAAAAAACCCACTGCCATTGAGTCAATTCTGACTGATAGCAACCCACTTTGAGTTTCCGAAGCAGTAAATCATTACGGGAAGTAGATTGCCCAGTCTTCCTACCATGGAATGGCTGGTGGGTTTGAACCACCAACCTTCTGGTTAACAGTCAGATGCCTTAGGCACTGTGCTACGAGAGCTCCTCGGGTGGAGAATATGCACGTATTATTAATTCTCCCTCAGTGCAGACTTGGACATCTAACAGGAAGGACTCAGTGACTGGATGGGGAACTCGTAACTATTTATTAATGCTCTTCTGCTCCCACAAGAAGGAAACACATTAGATGGCAAGTGCCAACAGCAACAATTATGAGGATGGCACAGTACTGGACAGTGTTTCATTCTGTTGCACATACGTGAGGTCATTATAAGTCAGAACCGACTCTAACACCTAACAACAAGAGACTCAGGTCCCATGAAGACCTCCTTCTCAGGACCCTCTGGCTCTCCATGGCATGGGTTGGAAGAGTTGATTGCTGAGATCCAGGCCAATTTTAACAGTCTACAGTATATGACTTTCAGAACGTGATCCATGACCATGCTGTGTGGACCTGAAAACCTGCTTCATTTCATGTGACTCAGGGGAGAGTCTGAATTCATTCACAGGCAGCCATTGCCTCTACATCTGGGGATAAATATGGCTCTGACCCAGCTGAGTGAGCCACTGTTTTACACAGGACAGTGTCCTCTCTCACCTCCACTGAGGTCCAGGTAGATGGGTTGGGAGGTCGTGGTTCCAAC